TATATATATATATATATATATATATATATATATGTCCCGTTTGGTACACATTAATGAAAAAATGAGAATGAAAAATATAGTCGTTACGAGCCCCACACAAGAGATAGAAAATCAAATATGATGATTTGATGTGATGAATAACGGTCATATTTTTCATTTTAATGAGCAAATAATGGAAAACAAACAGGGACACACATATATATAATAAAAAAAAATATTTTGGGGCCATCATCAAAGTCAGGGCAGCACAGTCAGCACTGGAAGCCACAACACTCCGCACCATTAAGGTAGGATTTCCTGATTTGATCCAAGTAAATAACAGTGTCAAGGACCGCTGATATGGTTAGGCCCTTGACCACTAGCAGCCACAGTTTTCCTAACCGTGACACATCGGCAGGTGGGGTGGGTGGGTGGTGAGTGATGGCTGAAAAAAAGGAAGAAATATGCAAATCTAGCAAGTCTGTATCAGAAGAAAATGCTTGACGGAAAGTGACAATGTATATTAATAATTTCATGAACTAATTATACATGTCAAATCTTCCCCCATAATGCAATGCAAGATATGACTAGACAACCCCCTAATTGCCATCAACATTTGTAAAATAGCATTAAACACAATAGGACGTCATGTAGAGTTAAGCATAGAAGTCCAAGCACATTTCCACACATTAATTGGAATGGAAGTCACCAGATCATTGGAAAAATTAAAAGCTGGTGATGGTATATATATTGATAATTCAACTCATTTATATATATATATATAATAAATTAAAGTAGAATAAAATTGAGTTTGTTTTTGTCTAAATGCAAAGAAGATAATCCAAGACCTGCAAATGGAAACATGTGCGCACATGGACTGAAACATGGGCAGTTGCTGGTTTGCTTGACAAATATTACAAATGGTTTTGGCTGCAACTTACTTCCATACTCAATGCTTGTTTGGGGGTAAAAATGAATTTTCAGATGCTGCTATGCAGACGTCTGATCAAGTTCATTTTATCAACAGTAGACTTTCTAGCATGGCCTATGTTGCGGAGTACAGCTTCCACTCGTCATATACCTCATTTGCATCCCTGCACAAAAAACGCTATAAATGCAAAATAATGGTTCCCGAAGTTTAGAAAAAACTGGAATTTTCAAGGCTGCGTCAGCTATATTTTGGTTCTGGTGGTAAGCTCTCAGGACCATCCAACCCACAACAAAACATGCATTTTAACCACTCTTCATATATGTTGACACTCATGAAAATAGAGAAATATGTTCCAGTTAAAATTCACAAACACAACCTGTAATTCCTATGACAAACATATTGACCTCATAATTCCAAATTAGATGGTGGTTAAAAGACGAGAGAGTGAAATAAAAGTGAAATTGTGGCATAGCATATAGGAAGGACAGAAGAGTATCTTTGATTTGATACGCTCAACCGATAATTATCTGGGATTTTTGGGTTCAATAAAGGGGGAACATATGATACTCTACTTGGTCAGTTTTCCAGCAAAAATAGATATCACAAGAAAAATCACATCAGATTACCAGCTAGGAACAAGATGTGGCCCTTATGAACAAATATATTTGAAGAATCAATTATCTTTTTATTTACAAACTCTATATACAACTAATAAATCAATGTAGCCCTACCAATTATGGTGGTACCAGTACTTTTTAAATGAACACATACAAAAAGAAAAACATTTGCTGAAATAGTGCGTGCAAAAATAATGCCATGCAAAAATTTTCTTCATAGGCATATCAACTTATCATGTCGTGTACATCCTTTAATTTGCATGAGTTCCTTGAATAATAGTTTTCAAATACAATTTGCAGACAGACGCGATATACAAATCATGTTCAGACAAGATGAGTATCGCCTAAAGTTCATATCTATCAGCACAATCCCACCAACTCCAAGAAAATTCATATAATCACCCACATGTGGGTCTCAAGCCCACTCCTCAACTGATACAATGTTGACAGGATTGTTCCACATAATCTTGTATCTTTCCTCATGTTGTTCTCTGCACAAGTCCACCTCAGACTCTTCTAGGAACCAAGGTGGTTCTATTTGTGAACAACATTATGAAAAAGGAATTTCAGTCCTCGCGAGTTTTAACTTTCTCCTTTTATTACTGATACCGCCATCAATATCTATTTCCTTTAAATACTTAATAATCTTTTCTGGAAAAACCGTGCATCTCTGATCAACCATCAATACAGAGTTCAATATGAAGGTGAGTCCTAATTCTTCTAAATTGAGGATAAAAGTGAAGAAGCAATATTTCTAACTTTGAATTTGATGCAGTTACTAGGCTGGATGCACCGTAAGTTAAAGCAAAATTGTACAGAGTCACTGAAGAATTTCACAACAGGTAAATTCTCTGAGGACACCAATTATCATTTATAAAGTTCTGAAAGGCTAGGAACTTGATTATCATTTTTTTGATTTCTTTTCTGCTCTTTCATTTTTTTTCTTTCCCCATCCCTCTTTCAAATCATTTAGATGAGTGCAAATCTTATACCAGAATAATTAAGGACAACCTGTCATACTGGGATATCTTTGAGGCATTTAATTGCCTTCAAAATATTGCTGAGAGCTCAAAATGCTCATGGAAAAGGTGGCCAACAGATTTAAATCTAAGAACCATATGAAGTTATGGAATTACCAAGGAGAAGCCAAACTACTCATCACAATTTGACAAGACTGGAGGAGTAGCAAGTCGCTTCCCTCCTACCCAATAATTTTCATATAAAAAATGTAGGAGAAAACAATTGAACTGATAATGAGAATATCATTTCATTTTCAATTTCAGGAAACCCCTCCTCTTGCCTCTCAGTGCAGGCATTTTCTGATGACCGCCACTATCTAAACCCAATCAAGACATTTTCACACTCAAACACCAAGTGTCAAAAATCTTCACATAAAATTGAAGCCGAAAATTCAGAAGTGACCTTTCATGAAGACGCATTCGATCCCTTCGGCTTTCTTGCAATTGGTACATTTGGTATGGAACTACTCAATACAGACCCACCAACTCCAAGATTTATTGTTCCTGGTATGAATGTGACTAATGAAGAGACAGAAATAACAAACAATGACCTCAAGCTTATTAACTATGAGCTGGAGAAGTTTCTTGAAGCTGAAGCAAAAGAGATAGCCAATGACTCTTCAGAGAGAAGTAGTCAAGCAAGTATTATAACCCTCAGTAACAAGCAGATTGAAGGAGGGGATTCTGAAGGCACAAACACTGTGCCATGTCCTCTGCAAAATTATCTCTTTGGCTCTTTAACTGAATTGGCTGGGACCGGGGTAGAGGCAAAAAAAGAAAGGACTTCACTTGGGGAGCTCTTTAAGAGGAACTTGCTCCATGATGATCCTAGCAGGAAATATGAAGAATCTGAGAAAGAAGCAAGGGGAAGATATGTAAAACGTTTCATGAAGAAGATGGTAAAGAATTCTCATTCCGCAACAAGCAGCAGTACTCTTTCATCTAAGGGCGATGCTGCTGAATCCATTTCAATTAAAAGGAAACTCTCTAAGGTCTGTGAACTCTTACTAACTCTCCTAGGAATTACCGATCAAGATTGGCTTCCATTTTGCAGTTCTGTAGACATTAGAATAATTGCAAGTACAAAGGTCATGTCAGCGAACACCAAAACTGAAGCCGCTGAACAAGTCGGAAGGAAAACTATCAGATTCTGCCACATCTTTGCCAAAAGATCTTTTAATTCCGGAATAATTTATTCACTTATAATTTATAGAGCTTCATATAACCATATTCACTAGGATGTATCATCCCAGGTATCCAAACATACCATCATTAATTTTCAGCATCTAATTACATCCCAACAAGAAGTCACTAATTTAATTTTAGTCCTCCAGTAACAAACAAGTGTCCCTTTATAGAAGCTTGCATATTAATGACTCTCGTCATTTTCAAAATGATAATTTTTTAATGATACAGTAGAGTGAAGTGGTTATAACACTTTTCAATTATATTATAAGCAGGCTCTAAAAGTGTTTTGTACGAAGGTTTACCCTGAAGAGATGACTGCAAAACAGTTCATAAATTTGCAAAAAGGTAAGAACAAAAACATTTTTCATGAGGGTGGCCATAAGATTGGAGGGGGTAATGACAATAAAAAGCTTGCTCAAGTGGCAAACATAAAGAATGAGAAGAATACTGTGAAACTATTTTCAAATGGTGTTGGCAAAAGTGCTTCAGCAGTGAACAGAGAGCGTTGGATTAAGACAGATACTGATTGTAAGTCAAAATGTGAAATATAGACATCAATATCTGTCATAGTAAGATCAAATCCTAATTCAGTACAACTATCTCACTCTTCCTTTTGTTTACACTGTAGTCTTGGTCTTGGAGCTGTAGAGGCAGAACCATTTGAAGCAAAGGTAGCCTGTCATCCTCCGTTCATATCAATCTGGTGTTTATTAAGGTATTACATATATGCAGCATTATTTATGAGTGAGGTGTGAATTCAAGAATTAAAGAAAATAAAATAGGAGTCCCTCCTATCTCCGTGAGTTTTCCAGTGAAGAAGCAGAGTAATGGATTGCAATGCTATGTTTGCACATGGCTCTTTAAAGTTTATTTCTGAAAAAACTCAGATAAAACGTGAAGCATCAAATATAGCTGTTCCTGTCGTGTGTAATTTAACAAGTGCTTATGTTGGAATTATTCAATTGCAGAAAACATTTTAAAGATATCTTTGATGCCTTCAACATATGTATCTGTCCTAAATTTGAATCTGTTGTGTTAGTGGGTTGCATTCATATTGAAGGGCACATGAGTATCATTACATCACTGGAAAATCACCAGGCAAACCAATATATTAAATTGTAATTACTCTTTTTAGTTTTACTATCATCTTGCAATGTTTCTGAAGGTCGCATACTTTGATGTGCATCTACCCTTTCTAGTGTATATAGATCTGCATGGAATGGAACAGGTAAATCAATTATACCTCACTCTTAGTATCACAAGTTGATCGGGTAGAAAAAAAAAAAAAAAAAAAAAAAAAAAAAAAAAAAAAAAAAACTTGCTGAAAATCAAATTGGCAGGAGTTCACTCTTCAATACTCCTCCCATCTCCATCCTCCAAGATTGATCTACAAGAGAGGCCAACTCTCTGAAAACATACATATAGATTTGTCATTAGTGAATATACGAACACTGCAAAATTAGAACAATGACAATTCCATCCATTACTTCTTTGCCTACATAAGGAGTAGATTAATCACAAAGCCCTTTAGAAATAATATGATACTACTGAAAAATGCCACTTAAGAACATGATAAGTAATATAACTTAAAAAGTTCAAAGACATGGTGTGAATCCTGTATCCAGCAATTACCCACCGCTAGATACAGAACATTAGTCATAATACTTTCGAACATCCAGACCAACAACAAACATAAATGAATTTAAATAAAGCTGAGGTTGGACACATTAGACCCTTTTCACCACTCAATTCGGTCAGGTGTCCAAGTCATTTAAGTTCAAAACCCCATGAAACAGAAATTTAGAAGTGCATTTCTTCAATGATGTTTCAACAGTTTCTAGCAGGCTGATCAACTTCTAAAACTGGAAAAGCAGTCCTTAATTTGAAAATTGACTTAATCACCAAAGTAATAATATTGTCTTTCAAGTAAATTTCCAGTCAACTTTGACATTGTAAACCATAAAGCATGATCCAAAATTCACTGTAAAACAGTAGCCCATGATAAGAAAAATTAGGAAAAGAGTATACCCCCTCCCCCCCAGCCGTGTTTCCCATAAGTATCTAGGTAAACATCCAAAAGTATACTCCAATATGGGCAACTAATTCATGTTTTTCAAAAGGCGCACATACTGCTTCAAGATCAACTATCAACATCGAGTGAAATTCACATGTCGAAAATGACAGTCATAATTAGGCTGAAAAAAAAAATGTACTGAAGCATGAGCAAGTAATTTCAGACTGATTGGTAGTTATGGGATTGCAACAAATGGGGTCCCCATTTAATACTATATTTTGCGCCTCCAGGAGCTAACAGCAGCAAGGAGGGGTTGTTAATTGTGCGATGTATCAATAAAACAAAAGGAGTCATCCATATCAAGAAGATGAGGTAAACAAGTTTGAATATTTACAGCAGGATATATGTTTTTCCCCAGGAAAAGGAAGAAGATGGCAATAAGCCAGTAGACAAATAGATGTCCAAAATTAGAACTTAAGGTTATAGCTTACAACAAGCAAGGTCATCTCTTTCTTCACATTCTTCAGCAACTTAACAACATCTGCACGGGCCTTCCAATCTAACAGACAGGCAAATGTTCATTATTTAAAAGCACTCAGTAGACATGAAGTTAAAAGCATCAGTTGATATTTTTCTAAATGGTGGACAACTCATATTACTTTGCTTGTGCAACTAGAAGCTACAAATAAAGATATAGATAAAAAATAGTGCAGCTGTGATGCAATCAGGAGCAAATTTCACAAATGGCAAAAAAGTGCAACCTATGACAAAACCAATTGATTTCAGTTTGAATGCCTCTCCATTTGAGAGTTGCTTCCATTAGATTAATGAAATTTGGCCAATTACAAGGCTGTAAATCAGCTGTTGCATGTTTCTTGCATAACCCTCGCTATCTATGTATGGAATTCTTGCTGCCTATGTACACAAATTACACGGCAATTACACAGGATTACAAATTACACGAGATTATATCCTACTAACACCCCCCTCAAATTGATGCTGGTCGGTCAAGAAGCATCAATTTGCTGAAGAGAACTGATGACGCTCTCGGATCATGACTTTGGTAAAAATGTCAGTTATCTGAAGGGTAGTGGAAATATGAGGAAGAGAAATGACATGAGTATCCAAAGCCTCCCGAATAGAATGACAGTCTACTTCAATATATTTTGTACACTCATGATGAACATGGTTAGCAGCAAAATGGTACTTGTGTTATCAGCATGGAGAGGAGAGGGAGAATACTGAGGAAAACCAAGTTTAGCTAGAAGGCCACGAAGCCAGATGATCTCGAAGCAGGCAGCAGACATTGCCCGATATTCAGATTCTGTAGAGGATTTAGAAACCCAACCTTGTTTCTTACTCTTCTAGGAGATCAAAGAATCACCAAGAAACATACACCATCCGATAACAGATCGTCGGGTGTTAGGACAACTAGCCTAATCAGCATCACTAGAAGCAGTAAGACGAATAGGAGAACCGGCAGGAAAAAATAATCCACGACTAGTTGTGCTTCGAAGATAGCGAATGATACGACGAACGGCAGCAAAATGGAGATGACGTGGAGTGTGCATAAACTGGCTAACCTGCTAGAACACGAAGGAAATGTTAGGCCTAGTGATAGTCAGATAATTTAAACTGCCCACTAGTTGATGAAACACAGTAGGATCAGATAGAAGATCACCCTCCTCACAACGATATTTTGTCTTTACTTCTAGGGGAGTATCCACAATAGATGAATCATGAAAGCCTTCCAACTCAATCAAATCCTGTGTGTACTTATATTGATGCAAAAAGATACCAGAATGACCAGTGTGAACTTCCAACCCTGAGAAGTACATAAGAGAACCAAGATCCTTCATATGAAATGATGTTTGAAGGCGTTGCTGTAGAAGGATAATCAAGGCGGAATCCGAACCATTGATAACAATGTCATCGACATAGACGAGGAGAAGAACAATACCAGTAGAGGTCTTGCAAAGAAACATGGAAAGGTCATATTGGCTCTGCTGGAAGGAAAATTGAAGCAATGTAGATCGAAACTTGTCAAACTAGGCTCGTGGAGCTTGTTTCAACCTATATAATGAGCACCTCAATTTACAGACGTTCGAGGAAGAGGTGGAGGTTAGGCCATGAGGTAGCTTCATGTAAACCTCTTCTTTAAGATCACCATGGAAATATGTATTTTTGACATCCCTTTGATAAAGTGACCAACCTTAGGAAGCAGCAATAGAAATTATGGTTCGTACTGTAATCATTTTAGCAATTGGAGCAAAGGTCTCCTCATAGTCCACTCCATACTCTTGTTTATTACCCAATGCAACCAACCGTGCCTTATATCGATCTAAAGTCCCATCAGAATGGAGTTTGATCAAGTAAACCCACTTGCAACCAATAGCTTTAACATTTGTAGGACAAGGAACAACATTCTAGGTATGATTGTCCCTAAGAGCACGAAGTTCTTCTGCCATTGCCTCCCGCCAACATTCATGTTTGACAGCCTCAGAATACCATGTAGGAATAGGGATGAATGACAAAGTAGCATTTAGTAAGGTATGAGAAAATCCATACCGATCTGGAGGACGAGAAATTCTAGTAGAGCGGCAAGGAATAGTGCCAGGATCTAGCTCAGTCTCTGAAGGCGTTGTCTGAGCAGGTTCAGATAGCGGGTCAGGCTGAGGAGGGGGCAAAGTTGAGTGGCGCCGTTCATACATAAATCCATGCTTGAATCATTCAGAAGTAGAGGGTATGTCATCAAAGAGTGGAAGAACATATATCTTGGTCTCGGTCAAAGGCTCAACATGAGTGGGAAAGAAATATTGATTTTCGAAAAATACAACATGACGAGATATACAAAATCTGTTAAAGCAAGGATCATAGCAAACGTAGCCTTTGTGAGAAATACTATAACCCATAAATGCGCACTTAACAAATTGAACAGAAAGTTTGTTTTGTTCATGAGGAGGTAAATGGATAAAACAAACACAAACAAATGTATGCATGTCAAGATATTTGGGATGCTGATGATATAGGCGATAACAGGGAGTCTCAAATTTCAAAACACTAGAGGGCAATCAATTAATTAAATAGATTGTCATAGATAAAGCCTCGACCCAGAATTTAGGTGGAACAAAAGATTCAAGTAATAATGTCTGAACATCATCTAATAGATAGCCATTCTTAGGTTCGGTAACACCATTTTGCTAAGGTGCATTGGGATATGAACATTGGGAGACAATGCCTTTTTGGTAAAGAAAATCATGAAAGTTATGATATATGTACTCACCTCCTGAATCCAATCTTAATATTTTAATGCTTGAAGATAATTGATTTTCAACATAAGCAACAAACTTTTGAAAGACAGAAAATACTTCCAATTTGGAACGCAGAAAATATATCCAGGTATACTAGTTGTAATCATCAATTAAAGTAACAAAGTATTTATAATGCACATGAGATATAACAAAAGACATACCCCACACATCGCTATGAATCAAATCAAAACTTCTTTTAGCCCGACTAACATGGGAGGAGAAGGGAAGAGACTTACTTTTACCTAATTTGCATGTGGAACAATCAAGAGAAATATGAGGTGAAAATTGATCTTTATTGCCCAACAAACCAGAATTTATTAGATGAGATAAAATAACAAAGTTGGGATGACGCAATCGTTTATGCCATACTCTACTCTTATTGTCAACATTAGTACAAGCCATGGATATAATTGGAGGAATAGGAAAATGCAGGGGAAATAATCAACCAACTTTAGGCCCCTTCGTGAGTATCTTCCCCGACACTTAATCCTGCACAAAACAGCCATCAAGAGAAAAACGAAAATCACAATTATTATCGACCAATTGGCCTACAGATATAAGATTAGAAGAAAGTGCAGGGGATACGAAACATCTCTAACGGAGGAATTAACATCTCCAACAGCATGAATAAGTAACCGATTGCCATTAGCAATCTGAATATGTGAGGATCCTTTGTATGTCCGAATATTACTAAGAGTATCAGAAGTACTAGTCATATAATTAGATGCACCAGAATCAACAAGACATGATGATGATGGTAGGAAACCGTTACCTTGAAGACCCAAGGCTGAAAAAGCTGAAATAATCATCTGCTGGCCCATCTCAGGAGTAAGAACAGATAAATTACCACCAGTGGAAGAGGAAGAACCAATTGTAGCCTGATAAGCATTAGCCTGACGATTCTGAGGACGAGTAGGACACTCTTTGATAGCATGCCTCGGCTTCTTACAATAGTTGCAATACTTCTTTGCACAGTGGGCAGCAATATGTCCATATTCCTTGCAGTTAAAGCATTGAACTTTCTGTATATCTCTACCCTTGCCCTTCCCTCGAGCCGCATAGGCAAATGCATTAGTTGGCAGTTTATCTTGCTGGTAATTAGCTTGTGTAGCAAGACGTTGCTCTTCTCGAAGTAACTCTCCCAAGCACACATCCAAAGAGGGGGATGGGTGCAATTCATTAGATTAGATTGAGCAACCTCAAATTCATGTTGCAGCTTCATAAAAAATTGATCCCTCTTACTTTGCTCATGAACCTCTTGGATTGCAGCTAGTGAACCATATGGTATCTTTGCATAGATTATACCAGCATACTCCGCCCACAAATCCTCAAATTCAGAAAAATATTCCTAAATGGAGAGATCGCCTGGAGTATAACTAGCGATGTCAAACTCCAATTGAAATCGTCGGGCTGTATTATCATGATGATAGATCTTCTTCAATTATTCCCACATACTCTTAGCATTCTTATACAGCCTAAGATTCAGAATAATCAGAGGGTCAATAAACCCTAAAATCTAAGTTATAACTCGAGCATCTTTAATCTTCCATTTTATGAGATCTGTAGGATCCGTGAGAGCTGAATCAGTTTCATCTATATGGCCACATAATTCCTTCCCAATAACAAAAAGCCGAAATTGAAATTCCCGGGCAGAGTAATTCTTACTCGTAAATTTCACACCGAAAAATCTGACGTTCCAGTAGACATTATAAATTAAGAAAAGCCTAACAGCTTACAAGCCCAATTGAAATAATTATTTTAAGATGCTATACCAATAAGCCCAATCGAAATAATAAGTCCAATAAGAGGAACAAGCCGAATTATATCCAGTAAAATAGACAGGCCAAAAAAAAAAAAAAAAAAAAAAAAAATTTTAAACAATACAGGCCTAATATACTTAATGGCCCAAAAGCAGACAACCAGTTAATATAACCCAACACACGATCCAATTTTGCAGCCCGTTACCTTGATTCCTCGTGATTCTTTCACCGGCGGTAGCGAAATAGAGGTTCCCGACACCGTTGACTCAAAAATCTGCCGATATTATGAAGATACCGACGACGGTGAGCGATGGTAGCAAACTCATCTACACAAGATCAGCGACGCAGATAGGGATTCACGATGCTTGCCGACACAGACTCCACAGAAATTGATGGCTACCACGATGAAGTGATCCGCCAGGTGAGTCCCAAAACTAAGAATCGAGCCTTTCTATGGAAGCCCAGAAAATTTTCTAGCCAGAAGTGTCCTCTTAGATCGAGGGCTCTTGTACCGTGACAAAACAAATTGATTTCAGTTTGAATGCCTCTCAATTTGACGATCCAATTTTGCAGCCCGTTACCTTGATTCCTCGTGATTCTTTCACCGGCGGTAGCGAAATAGAGGTTCCCGACACCGTTGACTCAAAAATCTGCCGATATTATGAAGATACCGACGACGGTGAGCGATGGTAGCAAACTCATCTACACAAGATCAGCGACGCAGATAGGGATTCACGATGCTTGCCGACACAGACTCCACAGAAATTGATGGCTACCACGATGAAGTGATCCGCCAGGTGAGTCCCAAAACTAAGAATCGAGCCTTTCTATGGAAGCCCAGAAAATTTTCTAGCCAGAAGTGTCCTCTTAGATCGAGGGCTCTTGTACCGTGACAAAACAAATTGATTTCAGTTTGAATGCCTCTCAATTTGAGTGTTGCTTCCATTAAATAGATGAAATTTGGCCAATTACAAGGCTGTAAATCAGTCGTTACATATTTCTTGCATAATCCTTGCTATCTATGTATGGAATTCTTGCTGCCTATGTACACAATTACACGGAAATTACACGGGATTATATCCTACTAATTACCTAAACTATCCAATGGAATTAATCAGACTTCCGTAGAACTATCTGTATTTTAGATCTATGCTTTCAACATGACCTCTGATTTCCAAGCTTGAATTCCTTCGGATAAACATGTGCTATTATTGCAACGGGTTGGTGGAGACATCCAGGAACTCTGCATATTTGTTCTACATTTCTCTTTCAACATTTTTTCAGAATCTCATTTTCAATAAATTGTAACCCTAACAACAAACTAAGACTTTTTCCCAGTAAATTTGGGGTTGGCTGCCAAAGAAGTGGAGAATCAGTGAGTTGGACAAGGTTCCCTGCAATCATTTTTTGCCATTGTCTTCTATCCATCATCAGATCTTTGTAAGATCAAATAAAAACAAATCTTTCACAACCACATCAACACCATGTTAACTTTGGTCTACATATCTTTCATCTAAAATGTTCTATTAGGTATCACTCTTATAGGTAGGAGCTTCTTTAAATCTATTATAAAATATGTTCAAACTAACTATGTCGTCCTTCCATGAATTTGTCCATATTGGTGCCACCTGTCAATCAGGACATATATTAGGCAAAATTAAACAATTTACTTATGGTATGATTGTAATACACATATATAGACATTATTGTATAGTGTAACAGCTTCCATAATCATTAGCCTAGATTGAGAATAATCGCTGAAAAATCAGCATGTAACAAGGAACATAATTACCTATGATCCTCAATTTAAACAGAGGAACTCTCACAATGAAAATTCATTCAATTCAATTCCAATCAACACCACCTCCACTTGTTTGACATGTATTCTTACTTCTTATTTTATCCATTTTAGTATGGCTACACATACTTAACACCAATTTCCAGTTTGGTTCATCTTATAGATATTTTGTTGCTTTAATGGCCCAACACTCATAGCATTTCTGCTCTAGTATAACCATTTTGTATAAATTGCCAACTTAGCAGGTTCCTATTCTAATCTTGGTTCCAATTCACCTAAGCTACATCAAATTAGTTATTTTATAATCGCAATCCAACCTTCCCCGCCTCCTATGTTTCTAACCGATTACTTAAGGTCCTCTGAAAAGAAGTATATAGTACTACATTATCAAATTTCCAATTCTCCAACAAGCATCTCAACATGACAATAGCTGAGAACCGAAATAAAGATCCATGTGCCACAAATATGATTTTCTACCTTGCTTCTCAAATAGGCTTGAAGAACAAAATATTGCATCTCGATGAGTATGGCTTAAGATCAAAACAAGTCACATATTAAAAAGCAGAGCAGATATCTTCATACCAAGGCCAGCAAGAGGCTCGTCCAATATTAACAGGTCTGGAGTTTGCACCTGAGCAGAGATAACAAACCATTAATATGATCATTAACTAACAAATTTCAGCCTTGCAGTGATGCAAGATTATTGAGAGGGTAGACATTGGGCAAAATAAGCTAGCCCATTGGCACCTGAAGATCATGGAGTCGAATCATGGAAATGGCCTACAACTTTGAAGGGGTATGCTGCTAAGCGCTAACATCTAGCTCTTCTCAGACCACAATGGTGGGAGCACTTGGTAAGCACTTCTTAGTGACGTGAGACATTACACATGGGAACATATTCACACTCAGGCATACGAGTGCATGCACACATGCGAATACCACTCTATTCCTTTTTCTAATTATACAAACATACACAGCATATCATCAAGAAAGGAAGGATTCTCACTAATTGGATTGCTAGGGCAAGTCAACGTTTGTAGCAATCACTTAGAGATTGTGGATCTTTGTCCAAAGAGATTCCAGTCATACCAACCTGAAAGTTTTAAATTGCACCATAACATTGGTCACAAATTATTAATAAAATAAAAGGAGCAGAAGAAAATGAATGCTTGATCGCTCTAATATACCAAAGTCATAGCTCTTTGGAGTCTTGAAGCAAGAAGCTCTCTCAATTGAATGCCACCTCTTTGTCTTCATCAAGAACATTGTCAGCAACAAAGTACCTGCACAATCTATTGCATAAGATACCCTAACAGAGCTGAAATTACGTACTTATGTAATCTGAAGCAAACAAGGATTCAATACGCACTTTTAAGACGAGAAAAGAGACAGGGATACAGTGGATGCAAAACCACACAAGGCAAACATCAGATGATGTAACAGTCAAACCTCTTAAGTGAAAAGAAGACTAAAACATATAGAAAACAAAGAATTGCTTTAGTATGGCAAATTCAAAAAAAAATCCATGCTCTAGATGGAAGATGCAAAGAGGATAGCATACTCTTGATGTCATGCATAAAACTTCCATAAAAACAAAACCTACTACACAATCAAATTAAAAAAAAAAAAAAATTCCCTATTTTTCTTTGGGGGCATCAGCTAAGGAAATTGAAGAAAAGAATGCTAACGGAGTGATGTTGAAAGTAATAATATTACAGTTGTATAAGTCTTCACGTGCAAAACGCAACAAGAATATTGAATAAACAAATTGTAATTCAGTATGCAGTATAAGCTCATTTTTCAAGATAGGATGCGGTTAAAGAACTTAAATACCAAATGAACCTTACTTCATGAAATGGGAAAAGTTAAAATTGTCTCCAATGCACTGATTAGAAGTTAATACCTTTCAGGAAACTGTAAACAATACCAACTCTTCCAGGCAATAACAATTCAGGAGACTGATTTGGGTGACCGTCATCATTATATCTTCGAATATGGATGGAGCCTGATGTTGGCTTACTTAACCCTGCTATCAACTGTATGAAAAGTCAAAGATTTGAGTAGAACTTAAGATAAGATTACAGGTAAATCAGTAGATATAGAATAGTTGGTTTAACACACCACAATTGTGGATCAAAAGGTAGACCCGTAAAAGAGTAGTTTTCCCACTTCCACTCCGTCCAAAAATCAATCCAAGACTGCTTAAGCGCATGAAAAGATACACATTATTTCAATGCGGATATCTTTTGTAAGTATAAAACCACTGCCACCAGTAAATGAAAAAGTGGCATTTCAACATAAATTGTGTTTCTGTTCAAACCAAAAGAACTTACAACAGTTTGTAGGTCCAAAATAAGATCTTCCAGTGTTCAAATTCAGATAATACCAGTTGCAAAATGCTAAAGAAAGGCAAAAAAAATTTTATTTTTATTAATATATTGTAACTTATTTACGACAAAATGAAAAGAAAATACCGTTTTTCAGGAAGGGAGAAACTTATTCTGTTCAAAAGATTGACCTTGGTCCCTGGAGATTGATAGCTAACATCTTTTACCTAGGAGAAAGAGGGAGAAAGCAATTATAGTGGTGAAACATACTTGAAGAAAAGCAAGGAAGTCTTAATCTGATGAATACAAATAAGGAAACAAAATAGAGGCATCAGAAAATGAGTGCTGCAGAGGGGATCAACCATCTAGAATTTGAGTCAGCTGAATATATATGTATGAAGGGAGCAGTTGTGGATAACATTAAAATTGGATGAAAGAGTAACATTTAGAAACAGTAGAAAGAACCAAGCATGTCCATTTTACGGTCAAGAATAATGCAAACACGAATGACGAATCACCTCTTACGTTATCATGATTCTAAAAAAGGCCTCCCAGAACAGGGGTAGAAAGATATATCACAGAGTATCAGACATTTCAAAGCACACACCAACACAGCAAGATGGATTAATGCCAAATAGCCTCCTACCCTTATATCCAGCCTTTCAGTTGTAGTAAAATGCTATCCTTAAGGGCAAACAGAGTAGAATAGTGCTTTTGCAAATATTAAGGGTTCATTTCTTTAATAAATTCTAGGCGAGAAATAACTGTGAATTCAAAAATCTTATGATTCAAAATTTGATTAGATTCCTTACTCTCATTATTGATATGTAAAACTGCAGCATGAATCGATTAAGACCAACTACAAAATTAGCATCATCTTTAACCTTAATTAGAATAATTAGAGAAGCAAATAAATCCAAATTTCTGATAGGTAAATGCTCAAGGTAGTTAAATCCCTGAGAATTAGAAACTTACCAAGAGAATGTAGACTTGAAAGAATTTTCAATTTCCTTATTTATCTACAGACAATATGGACAACTTATGTTGCCACTGACACAATCAGTTCTCCCAAAAATCGCAGCTAATAGGGGAGGCACAATCAAGCCTTTATCGTCAGGACTAGACCTGGAGTCCTCCCCAAGTATTTTGGTCTTCCTTCAAGAATCCCTTAAGAGATAATCAACATCAACTTAACACTAATGACTTTTTATGGTATTCAAAAGGTGGCACATGTTTAAAGATACTACGGTTTCTATAGCAACCACATTGGGTAGTAATCGGCTTACAACTACGAATTCTATTAAAAGTAAGCTTCACACTTACTTCAAAACATGAACAATTGCAGGAAATTTTGCTCAGTCGACAAATTCTTAAATTTGCACTGCGATTACAAACAGCTGATTAAAACAAGGATATAATAATGAAAGCTGAATGCCGAAGAATTCAGTCGTCGATAATGTGATCGGAATATTCAGAGATTCAAAGAGCAAACCTCGAATATTTTGGAATTTTGAAGACAGTTGAGGGTTTGGTCATAGGCAAATAAGGAAGCACAACACCCGCCATTCTCTCCTTGGCGGTCAGAAATCAACATGATAAGGGTGGTGATTTTACACTTCCCATGTTTCAAAAGTAGATATTTGGGATTTATGGATTAATATTGGTTTAATAACTGATTATTGTAGGGAAAATTGTTGGAATGTCTTAATTTACACTTTTCCCTATGTGGGAAACACCGTTAACATGTACTAGATTAGAATTTTTACAATTATTTTTTTTTAAAAGGTTAACATGCTCAAAGTAGAAGAAATTTTATATTATCAGTTTACTATATAAAAGTTTGGGTTTTCTGCGTTTTAATAAATTTTTGTTTCAAAATTAATATACACGATCTTGGCAAGTCGACAATCATCTGCTTGGTCGAAAGAAAGAAAAATCTATTGTTACGTATTGTCATACTTGGCTAACCTATTTGGGCATATGGCCCACTCAATCCGAACCACGTGGCACTCCAGCCGAGGTGGTATGTATAGCCGAGGTCTTTCATGCCGAGGCCCATATACCGAGACCTGTGAAAGTAGCCGAACTCCATATGCCGACGTCCATATACCAAGGCTGCGAAGATCACCGAATTCCTTAAGCGGAAGTACTACGTGAGTGGCAGAAGTCTCCGAACCATGGAGGAACGTCTTCCATGATCACCTCTCCCAAGAGATCTTCTACATAAAGATTTTGTTTGAATGATTGATGGAACGTTTATCATGAGTACATATGTCAAGTCTTATCACTAGCATAGGGGGTCTACACAAGCAATAAATGCGCAGCAAGCTAGCAAGTCAAGGATGATGCCTAGGATTGGATGTTTGAATTAAGGAGATGAGGTCACGTGCCACCTCATCTAAGGGCTGCCATTTCACATGTAACACTATAAATACTTCCCTTGTATAACATTGAAGGGCTAATGCAAGAATTAATACAAGAAATCATACTTTACTCTCTCTTTCATATTGTTTTACGACACAATACGAGTTCATACATATTTACATGCACATTCATGAGCATCGATTGGTAATTATTGTACAATCGGATTAAGAATATCCCGCCGGATTCCGAACGTTCTCGTCCCACGTCGTTGAGCTACTCTCACGCTCCTGATTGGTTTGTTCTAGGCCATTCACGTGTCTTAGTGTGTAGGACCTTCGCTCACGTGTGCGTAGCTGGGTCCGGCATCTGTTGGCAACACTTTTTGAGGTCAACAGATTGGCGCCGTCTGTGGGAAATCATATTATAACCACGAACAACCTTGTGGTGAAAGCTTATTGAAGAGCATTTGGGCATCCCCCTTGAAAAAGGATTTGTTCTTGAAAAAGAACAAGATGAAGCCCCACAATTTAGCAAAATCTGAAGAGTCAGACGAAAAGAAAATGAGTTCAAACGAAGATACACCCCCCCAGGAGGGTAAGAGAAAACGCGAATGTGCCTCCTCCACCCGCTGCCCCAGCAACTCGGAAAAGACTCCACCACTACCAAAGAAGAGGTAGAATGCGGGCAACGGCACGACTGTCAAGAGAAATTGCTGCCATGCCGGGCAATATGAGAGATATTGCTCGCCAAAACTTGGCTATGAGGGAGGTCATGGTCCAAATACAGGGTCAGGGAGGCTTCTCTATTCCTCCATACACCCCTCAGGGGCACTACCAAGAAGAAGACGAAATTCAAAGTCATTGAACTGCCTCGCCGGACTATAGCCGAGGTAGAAGCCCGTTTGAAAGTGAATTGAAAGTTGATGTTTCCTCCAACTACGCTTCTGGTCGACCCACCAAGGTCCCATTGAACCATGATGACTTCCCACCTCCATATGAGCAAGAGTCAAGACATAGGAGGGCAGGCAGTGTATTTGACAGAATTAGCCCCGCTGAACCGAGGCTTAGGCAACAGTAGACACACCAGCCTTGGACAAGGCTACCACCTCCACCTCCGATGCCCCAGCAGCCAGAAGAGAGGCATGAAAATGTCCTCCGTGTTGCTCGGCCTAGAAATAGGCGCCAGAGGAGGGAGGAAGGAGCTAGGAACCGTCTCGGAACCTCTCACCAACAACCACGGCAAGAGGCCGAGGAATATGATTTAGATGAACAGCAAAGGTCCTGTGACTTGGACGATGATGATGAGAATTTGCCATTCTCGAGAGAACTGAGGAGCGCCCAGGTTCCAAACCACTATGTAATGCCAAAGATACCAAAGTATGACGGAAGAAGCGACCCAGAGAAGCACCTAAATGCTTATAAAACTCACATGAGCCTAAGGGACGCCATCCCAGCTGTGAATTGTAGAGCTTTCCATTTGACACTTAGTGGAGCGACTGAAATTTGGTATAGCAGGTTACCACCTGGGAATATAAGAAGTTGGCCTGAGTTCAAGACAACATTTTTGAAGAGATTCGCGGTAAGCAAAGAATGATAGGCCCCCATCCATCGTCTCCAAGACATGAGACAAGCACATGGGGAGTCCCTAAAGAGCTTCCTATCATGCTTCACCGATGAGATGATGTATTGCGTGCAAGTCACCGATCGTGAGGTGCTATCCGCATTAAGGGTAGGTCTAAACATGAATACCCTATTCTGGAAGGACGTGCAGAATCAAGACCCCACTACCTATGACGCCCTACTCGAAATGATGAGGCGCGAAATCATCAATAAAGAATTGATTGAGCATAGGAACAGGGCAAGTAGGGGCCTCCCACCTCCTCAAAGGCAGCACGCTAGAGGGCCGACCTCCCACCTGATAGACTACCAAATGAACCAGGCTGGAAATGAGAGTTCTGGCCAAGCACTTGCCACCACCACTTTGAACATGATTCCCACCTTGGCATATGAGGAATCAACCCAATTACTAACACCCAGTAGACTGAAACCCCACAAGGATCCCGTAGGGGGAGAGGTCGAGGTCAGGGTTCGAGACCTAGAAATAGGTCAAATCAGAACCCACCAGGATACTGTCTATACCACTGGTCCTATGGACACAACACGGCGGATTGCTAAGACTATGTGCACCGCTCCCGGCTGGAACCCCCTAGGGACAGAAATGAATCGCCTCAGGCGAACAAGCCCCCGCCTAGGCACGACAATCGACCTTGGCGTGAGAAGGCTGCTCCCCGTCAAAGAGATGTTTCCCCACGACGAATGGAGCGTGATACGGAAAGGCCCAGGGAAGTGCTCAGGCACCGAAGAAATCGACAAGCCCAGGATGAGGCCCCTATCCACGAGGTGGATACCATATTTGGAGGACCATATGTTGGCGGAGAAATACGAAACGCCAAACGGAATTACGCCCGGGAGGCTAAACACCCCCCTTTGGCAAGTTACATTGTGGACAGCAACTCCCGGAGGAACCAAATTCCACCCATTGTCCTCACCCAGGAGGACGCCGAAGGAGTTCACTACCCCCACTGCGATGCACTTGTTGTGAGAGACGTCATAGCCCGAAATGGGCTCAAGCGAATGTTAGTTGACAACGGTAGCTCTGTCAACATTCTATTCGGATCCGTCTTCGACAAGATGATATTGGATCATCAGTTGACACCCACCACAACTCTTTTGTACGGATTCATCGGAGATAGCATCACTCCAAGGAGAAAGATAACACCTTTGGTGGAGATGGGAGAGTCTCCCCAAACTACGATGAACTTAATGGAATTCCTCATTGTCGACAGTCGATCAACCTACCATGGAGTATTAGGTAGGCTAGCCCTAAAGAAATTGAGAGCAGTCACCTCCATCCACCACCTATGCATGAAATTCCCGACGAAAAATGGGGTGACAATGGTGAGAGGTGACCAAAGAGGATCGAGAGAGTATTATCTAAGCTCCACTAAAAATGTAGAGCCCCAGGACGTCCATGTAATCATAGCCAATATAGTTATAGCTGAGGTCCCAGGTGATGCTCCCACTGAATCAGAAGATATCGATATGATCGATGCACCACCCAATCCGGAGGTATCGGTCATTGAAGAGATCGATCCCTGCAAATTGAACATGAACCTCAAGCGTCCCCAGTTGAGGAACTTGAGAGTTTCTCGGTAGACCCCGGGGACCTATCCAAGACGCTGAAAGTAGGCAAGGGCTTATCCAACACTTTGAAGGGAAAGATTAAAGATTTCCTAAGTAATAGCATTGATATCTTTGCTTGGAGGCATGAGGACATAGTGGGCATCGACCCCAAGGTCAATTGCCACCACCTGAAAGTCGATCCTAAGGTTGCACCGCATAGACAAAAAAGGAGAGCCCTCAATCCTGAAAAGCACGAGACACTGAAGGAAGAGGTTCAGAAGCTCATCCAAAACGGCTTTATCAGGGAGGCTACAGATTCGAGGTGGGTCTCCAACCTGGTTTTAGTAAAAAAACACAATGGCAAATGGAGGGTGTGCATCGATTTCACCAACCTCAACAGGGCTTGCCCGAAAGACAGCTTTCCTCTCCCAAGGATTGACCAACTAGTAGACTCCACGGCTAGGCATAAGTTGTTGAGCTTTATGGACGCATACTCCGGCTACAACCAAATACCCATGCACCCAACAGATGAGGAACACACCTCTTTCATCACAGATCGAGGCCTTTATTGTTATAGGATGATGCCCTTCGGGTTGAAAAATGCTGGAGCGACTTATCAAAGGCTTGTCAACAAAATGTTTATGGACCTCATCGGCAAGACAATGGAGCTATACGTGGATGACATGTTGGTAAAAAGTCTGGAGGCTGAGGACCATATAACGCACCTCAACAGCACCTTTCAAATCTTGAGAAGATATAGGATGAGGCTCAACCCCCTCAAGTGTGCCTTTGGCGTGGCCTCCGGTAAATTTTGGGATACATGGTCAATCGATGCAGAATTGAAGCCAACCCGGAGAAGATTGAGGCCCTATACAAGATAAGGTCCCCCCAAAAGCCAAAGGAAGTGCAAAGTTTGACTGGACGTGTGGCCGCACTTAGCCGCTTCGTCTCCAAAGGTACAGACAAATGCCTGACGTATTTCAAAGTACTGAAAGCTGGGAAGAAGTTCTAATGGAAGGAGGAATGT